CGTGCTCAACCTAGCCTGTGATCAAAGCCACACCCATCATATTTCGCCAAGATGTGAGGACCCAGGCCTGTTACCTGGGCAACAGAGGCTGGGTGGCCTTCAGGCTTCCCAGGGCAGGGCTGTGGCCTTGAAGAGGGGATTCCTCAAAGGGATCTGCCAGTTATCCCTGGGGCAGTTCCTGCTGGTGACAATCAGAAGGCCGCTCTGTTGCCCGGGGTGTGGCCACTTCGTGGATGTGACTCCCTTGCAGCTGCTCCTTGGGGCTCACCTGTCTCAGCTTCTTGGCGTAGTCCTCAGCTGCCTCCTCCACAGGCAGCTCGGGGTTAATGGTGATCACCTGGCTTTCTGGGATCGGCAATCTGGAGAGAAGATGCGTCTGCAGCCAACAGAGGGACAGTGTCACCAACAGTAACGTGACCACCTGGATCCTCCAGGGAGGCTATGACATTACTGTCGTAACACTCATTTACAGATGGGGAGACTGAGGCACGGGGAGGCTGGCGCATTTGTGCAAGGTCCTTCGGTTGGTGAGTGACCCTTTGGTTGATGAGTCACCTCTGGAAGGCTGGAAGCCAGGATCCTAAGCCCTGGGTGATGCCGCCTCTCAGGGCACAGGAGGTTCAAGGGCAAGAGGGAGCCCTGCTGCTCTTGGGGGGCTGGACAGGAGGGCGGCTCTCCTGGGTGAATCGAGATCATGGTGGTTCCTGCTGGGGCCAGCATTCCAACAGGAGTCTTTCAATTCCGTTGTATTTGGGGGGTTTCCTGGCCACAGCCTGCACGTGTCTAGCCAGCCCATTGCCCTGTTTCAAAGCCTCCAGGGTCCCACGGCCCTTGGGATAAAACTCAGCCCCTCACAGCCCTCCTTGGAGAAGCGTGACCTTCTTCATCCCCACCCTCCCTCCTGACGCTGCCTGGGAAACTCCTATACATCCCTCAGGCCACCTCCTCCGAGCAGCCACCCCCGCCTGCACCTGTCCCACTATAGGGAGTGGGGGCCAGGTTTGCCCAGGCCCAGCACTTGTGGCCAACGCACAGTAGATGCCCTGGCCTGTGAATGGTGGAGGAGGAGTTGGCAGCAGATTTAACTCAAAAGCACTTGGAGTCAGGCCTCCTGCAAGGAGAAAGCTGCAGCCCTATCCCGCTGAGATGCACCTGGGGGGTCCTGATCTGCTCTGAGACGGCTTCCATGTCTCGGTGCCTCACTGTTGTGCAGAGTCTAGCTCAGTGAGCTGAGGCAATGCTAAGGTAAGCCACAAAGTAAATGCAGGGGCTGACTGCCTTGAATGCTGAGGAGTATGAGCTCCACATTGAGGGCACTGGGGAGCCAAGGACGGTGTGTGAACTGGGGAGGGACACAATTGTATCCATAGTTGGAAAGATCGCTCTGCTTGGTCCAAGTTCCCTGTGTTAGTCTATGCAGGCTGCTATCACAAAACACCATAAACTTGAGGCTTATAAACACCAGAAAATGGCCAGGCATGGTGGCTCACGGCTGTAATCCCAGCACTTTGGGAGGCTGAGGTGGGACAATTGGTTGAGCCCAGGAGTTTGAGACCAGCCTGGGCA